AGTTATAATGATTTTGAAATATTTTTAATATAAAAGTGTAAAAAAGTAACATTACCTTTATATTAGCGATCTAATGCATTTCTCATATATTTACCAATACGATCACTTAAATTTATATTTTATCAATAATGAAAAGCTAATCCGCAAAAACTAACAATGTGAACAATCTCAGGAACAAAATACTAAAAAATCGATCCGTTTGTCAAAATAAATCAAAAACTCAAAAAATATTACAAAAAAAACAAAAAAGAACTAAGAAGAAGAATATTATGTATGTAAAATAAAAATTACGAACAAATTTTATGTAATACGGAAGTTATATACGGAGTATTTTGTTTGAAGTTCTTTAAAAAAAATTCAAAACAACTATGTATGACTATGTTTAGTGCATGTTATAATTAAAAATTAGTTGTAGTTATATTTTTATTCAATTGAATACTTAAAATTAAATAAATAAAATCAAATTTTAAAAAAAAAAATTACCTTTATTCGGTCCGGTCCCGGTCCGGTCCCGGTCCGGTCCGGGTTTTACCGGTCCGGTCCTTAGCTTAATCGGTCCGGTCCTCGGTCCACAAAATGCTCCTTATTCGGTCCCGGTCCGGTCCCGGTCCGGTCCGGTCCGGGTTTGACCCGATGAACACCCCTAATAAGTATTTCGAGATGAATCATATTGTGGAAGCCTTCATTGTACTTCCTGGAGGGATTGACACTATCGAAGGTTTGTTCACCTTAATCTCATGGGCATCTAAAGGGTTGCACAGCAGACCTATTGGTCTCTTAAACATTGACGGTTATTTCAATAACCTAATCAAGTTTCTAGATGATGCGGTGAGGCAGAACTTCATGGCTTTGAATCAGAAGAAGCTGTTCATTTCTTCTTTCTTTGTTGATGAGCTTTTGGACAAGCTAGAGTTTGCTAAGGCTTTCCCAGGTCCCGGTGCTAGTTATGACGAGTTTGCAAATCCTGGAAGATTAGACTTAGAGTTGCATCTGTAATATTTCCAAGTTGAAATAATATTGTCCATGTACATTATGCGCTAGTCACAAATATCGTTCTAAGCTGCATGGCTAGTGCATTTCAGAAGAATATTTATTTTCCAACATCAAAATGTACCATGTAAATATTAATCCTTTTCTTTATCTTCCAGTCTTTCACTGTTGGTGTGACTGTTTCACATCTTGTTTTGTATTGTCATCTTGTTACGACCTTTCACGTCAATAAGGTATACGAACGAGTCAATTATCTTAATATTTTTATGTAGATTCACTCCTATAATGCGTTTCAGATTCGATACATATGTCGTATTCAATCTGGTTTGAGAGGTTCTACTCATGCTCCTAGAAAATGACAGATTCACTTTTGGAGAATTTGTTCACTTCCTATCGGAGAAAGTTCTTTCTTCAACGTATTCTTCGGCTTGATAGAAGTTGATTCACATCGTTTGCTTAGCTACTCGCATATTACGACATACGAATATGTCGTGCCTATAGGGCTTACAATCCCTCTTCTTAATCCTTGATCTTTTGATGTCGACTGTGATCGTTGTGCAATCTAAACTTTATTGCAATCGGGTCTATGAGGATATTAGCAACTCAAAGGAAGCAAATTTTCAATGAGTTAAGCATGTGTGTTATGCCATAATAACTTACTTGTTGATTACCTTCCCGGGGCACAGATGTCGTGGAGGATGCGGATGCAGGACTTTGAAAATACTGACTCAATGATCCGAAAATAATTTTGCTCTGATACCAAAATGTAACACCCCAATCCGTATAACCCGGAATTACACGAATTAAGGTGAAACGAGGGTTAATTAAAAATTTCGCTTGACATTTGAAAATGACAATTTATTATAATTGTTAAATTTACAGACTTTGGATCGCGACCCATTTAAAAATATTTTCAGAGTAATGCGAAAGTACAATAATAATTAAATCATGACACATTTAAATTCTTTGATGATCAAACATTTGCCTGACATCCTTGCATCTCCTCTGACTCAATGCCCTCCGGGAGTGGTTCCGTCATTGTCTTCTTGTTACCTACGTGTAGTCAACGAAAAATACAAACTACACGCTCAGCGAAACCGCTGAGTGGTACCACGCTAGAATTGTAGAATAATTCACAGACATATACATATACATATATATATATATGTCCACAAAAATGTATAATAATATTCATGATATGGCACATTATATCATATGGTCAATTTGATGAATCATGATGATAAATATTTACTGTTAATTACATGATGGTACATTTTATCAATTTGCTTGTTCGTGAGGATGATTACATGACACCTATGTAATCAATATAATTGTTCTTGATGATGATTACATGACACCTATGTAATCAATATATTTGTTTTTGATGATGATTACATGACACCTATGTAATCAATGTACTTGATGATGATAACATGATTTCACATTTAATCAATTTGATTGTTCTTGATGATGATTACATGACACCTATGTAATCAATGTACTTGATGATGATAACATGATGCATGAACCTATAACCCTCAAGGAACGACCTTGCCCTATGAGATTCGCCCATTTGGTACGACGAACTCATGCCACCTTAGTCTCACAAATGAGGTGAGACTAGAAAAATAGGAGTGGTACTCGAAAGCCTGAATACCATGTACGTACACTAAGCCCGGTCAGTGATGTCGGACTGCTAAGTCCCGCACAATCACGCTATAAGAGACGCACTAGGCATGATCTCTTACGCATGCATATGATATGATATGATATGTTTTAAAATGGATGATGAGATGAATCATATGATATGAACAAATTGTAAACAATATGAATATGTAATCATACATTAATTTATTTGGGTGAAATATGATAAAAATATCATTAAAATAAGCTACGGGGCTCGGAACGGTCGACCGTTTGGCACGGCGGTCGACCTTGATCTTCACTTTGTCGGAACAGCGGGTCACCGTGACGGTCGACCGTGGTTGACCGGCGGACGACCGTTGTTGACTCGCTGCGGATGGCGGACTTCGGCTGGCTGGCGGCGGTCGACCGTTCACCGACGGCGGTCGACCGTTCTGCTGACAGTCGTGGTCCGTTTCGAAGTTTAATACGACGTTCGACCGTTTGCGTTGACCGTTTGGATATGTGAATCTTTCTCTTGATATTTTGAGTGTCCAAAATACTTCTTTAAGTCTTTTAAACACCTTTGATTTACATATACATGTTGTTGGGTTGATTTCAAATGTTTATATATACTTATGTATATATATTAACTTTATGGATTTGGTGTATTTTGATCTCAACATATAGATGACCTATATATGTATCACATATATATTTTGGGATGGTTTCAACATATGGATTAATATATATGTTCAGGTACGTATGTGATGAATGATTCGACAAGTCTAACGCAAGGGTACAGACCTGGAAATTATCGGCCGAAACCTTACGGATGAGCGGGAGTGGAAACAACATCGAAATTCGCCAACTTTGTCATTTCCGTCACAACTGGAGAGCCTGCGGTATTTTGGGCATATCTCCATCGTTTCTTCACGGAATTTCAAACCGTTTGACTCTTTGGGTTCCTAAGATGTAAGGCTATAACTTTCGTATAGATAGTATTTCGAGTTAACAGATGTAAGATAACGTAAATCAGACCTGAAGTCAATGGATAGTTGCTGTCCAGGATTTCGGATATGTCGATGAACAGCGATTCCGACGATTAACTCATTAACCTCAATATTCCAACACCGAACCTTCTCTACGATACCTTCCAGATGTTCCTAATAATCGTTAGAGAGTTTATGGTGAGTGTTTGGAATGAAACAACATGGATATGGTGAGGAAAATGTTCCAACCCGAGGAGCTCGCCACCATTGGCGCAGTCCCGGTATTTTGGCCATATCTTCTTTGTTACTTAACGAAATCGCGAGCCGTTTGTTGGGCTGGATTCGTATCGTCCGGGGCTACAACTTTGGTTCAGAAAGTATTGCGAGATAATGAATGGAAAATTTCAGTTTTTACCTAGAAGTGGGCTGCTATGTTTGGTTTCAGGATTTTAGACACTTGAATGGTTTCCTTCTTGATTCTTCTTCTTCCTTAGCACAACAATGGATGTATTTGATCTGGGTTTTCCTCCTCCTTAGATAGCCGACAGAGAGAGAATGGAGAGGAGATGAATTATGGATGGATGATGATGGTAATAACATAAAGGAGTAGGAGTGTAATAATGAGAAAGGGATTTGGAGTTTTATGTTAGTGGGGGGCTAGTGGATTCCTTAGGAGGGATAAGGTGGCTAATGAAGTCACATACGTGATTGGGGAGAGATTTGAGAATTAAGTTTTGGCTTTTAGCCAAAACTGAACAGTTTACTCCAAACGGTACGCGCTTTTTCGCCCAAGTGTCAAAGATTAATATTTCTAATCTTATGAAATCACTTTGCAATTGAGTTTAATTTATGGGTCAAAGTTACAATTTTTAATATTTAAAAATCACCATAGCTTGAAATCTATAAATCATATTGGTTCATAAAATGTTCCGTTGGATTCGTCTCCTTGAGACATATCCATAAAAATAAGTTTTTAACAAAAAGTCATTATTTTGAAAATCCCTTCATTTTTGGTCAAACGTAAAAATATTCTTTATTGGATCAAAATGATATTCAAAACTACTTTTATTTTATAATAAATTTTAGGCCTTATTTTGTGGCGTTACAACATTCAAGACAACAATGCACTTTGACCTTAGAGAAGTAGAAAATGAGACATAGATAAATGCTTTTCTAGCTCCACTGTAATCATACACAAAAAAAGAAACATCTTATTTTAGATGTCATGACTTGTATTATTTCGTTGTATGTTTTCCTCCGATCTTCATTAATCGTAGATAGTATCCCTTAAGATCAGATAGTAACTTTTCTTTAACATAGTTCATATTCTTTACCAAGAAATTATTTTAAAATATATTAAGTGGACAATCATTTAGAAATGACATTTAGATGTCGCCCGTTTGAATTAAGCAACTTTTTGATCTCAATTACACACAAATGTGTTAGGTCTTTTCATGAAAATATAAGAAAAGAAAAAAAGAATTAGAAAAATTTCGACCAATTATTTCTATGCAGTAATCAATTAAAGACTTTCATTTCCACAAAATGCATTTCATATGTATTAATATTTTAAAAAAACAATCTTTCTATTGAAATACCTTGATTACGCAATATTTTTCTTTGATCAATAAATAAGATTTCATCCACCTAGAGTTTTCATGATTTGTTCTTCACTAATAATGTGACGAACAATTTCCTTAGTTGATTCTCATATCCTAACTCAGCAGTCCCTTTTGTACATTCAATAAACTCAATGCATCTTATGCTTCATTAAATGTGTAATATAGAACATTGTTAACTGTCTTCGAGCTTTCATAACTTATACATTCTCGCTGGACGGTTAATCGTATTCTCAAGTAGTATAACTTTCTTATACTGTTGACACATGTTGTAGCTAGCCTATTGATGGTCTTTGTTGTCTCGGGAACCATTTTGGCTTCTTGTTGTTGTACACAAAATATCTTGGAATAATATGTAGTTCCAATCCCTAATTTACATTTTTATTGAAGTCCTGAATACGCAACTCCAAACCCAAACATACTTTTTTTTAAAAAAAAATATTGAAAATACCAATTTATATTTTAATGTTCTAATTTTTTTAAAAAACATTTCAGTATGATTTATTTTTAAAATAAATTCCAAGCACACCTTTTTTACTTTTTACATAAATTTAATTTGTATTTTTTTATTTTGAATATAATCAAATTCTTAGGAGGTTTTATCTTTGCATTATAATATAGATAAGACGTGTGTTATCTTATAAAAATGCATGATTTATCCATTTGTAATTTTTTTTGCATTTTAATATACGTAGTATACATTTTTACTTTTTAAAAATTCATAAAAATCAAGTTCATATTATTTTTTTCTTAAGAAAACACTATTTGAATATCATTTATTTATCTCCTTCAAATAGTTTTTAGATGCATATTTTTTTTACATCAATTTTAATGTTTGTTTCATTTTTTGTGAAGACAAATTGCTAGTGGCTTTTTTCCAAGAGTGTAGAAATATGTGAAAATTAATGTTAAGCTCAAAGTTGATTTTTTTTAGTGTGAAGATAAACAAGGCATGTGTTATAATAAAAAGGCATTGAGGATCACGTTTAACTTTTTTTTCCTTTTAACTATTACCTTTAAGTGTGTAAATAGTAAACATTTTTATACCTTTTATTCATTAATAACTTTTATTTTAATGTCCAAATTCTGTGTATTTTTTATAAGTAAAACTTGTACCATTTAAGAATATAACAATTAAATTTTAAATTGGAAAATACTATTTTTAAAGCATAACTTTTATTAGAATTAGAATTTTTTACTGTATATGGAATATTATTAATGCTCTATTATATAACATGCTAATAAAAATCCTTTTCCTTTTATGTACTTCTCTTTCTCTTTCAAAATAGGAAACTAACGCTTTAAATATTAGTTACTATTATTATTATTATAATGTTTTTGTTGAGGTTGTGAATACGTAGTTCAAAATTTAAACTTACATTTTTATTTTTCAAAATTTTTTTTAAAATCAAATTTATATTTTTTAATTTTCTATTTTTATGAAAAAAAACATTTGTCTATAAAAAAATATAAAAACATTTGAGCATCATTAATTTTTTAAATTAATTTTAAATACACAATAAGGAAATTCCGAAGAATATAATAAGAAAAGTTCTAGTCAATGTATGATTGTGGACATGTTTAAAAAAATTGTCTACTAAACATGCATGCCACATGTAATTTTGTAAAAAAATTGTCTACTAAACATTATATAAAAAGATTTAATATTTGTAGTATCACTTTTAAGCACGTAAATATTAAGCATTTTTATACCTTTTATTCATTATTAACTTTTATCATAGTTTCCAAATTCTACGGTATTTCTCTATAAATAAAGTGTGTACCATATAATAATATAAAAATTAAATTTTAAAATACACAATACTAATTTTAAAATGGATCATAATTTTTTGTTAGACCTAAAAAAATTTTATTGTGGAAGTCAGGATTGACTCGCACCTAGTACCTAAGGTAGACAGGTTTCGATATCTTGGCTCGGTAATCCAGGCTAATGGGGAGTTAGATGCAGATGTTGGACATCGTGTTGGAGTGGCTTGGGCCAAATGGCGGTTAGCTTCGGGGGTGTTGTGTGATCCGAAGATTTCGCCTAGAATGAAAGGTAAGTTCTATCGATCCGTAGTCAGAGCTGCTATGTTATATGGGGCAGAGTGTTGGGCGGTTAAGAAGACTCATGTGCGTCGTCTGCATGCGGCGGAGATGCGGATGTTACGATGGATGTGTTGGAAGACAAGGTTGGATAGGGTTTCAAACGAAGTTATCCGACATCAGGTAGGCATGGCACCTGTGGAAGATAAGTTGCGGGAAGCGAGGTTGAGATGGTTTGGCCATGTGAGACGGTGGGATCCTGACGCCCCTGTACGGAGATGCGAGAGGATTACAGTTATCGGGGGAAGTAGGGGAAGAGGTAGACCTAGGAAGAATTGGAAGGAGGTGATTAGGCAGGATTTAGGACTTCTCGACACTGAGGATATGGCCCTAGATAGGAACCTTTGGAAAACTAGAATTAGAGTAGCTGGATAGGAGCTTGGTGTTGTAGAGGTTGTTTTGTAGTGTGTTGTATTCGTTTGGAATCTTCTACTATTGCTTGTACTTGTTGCTTGTACTTGGTACTTTATCTGTGTTATACTGTGTTCCCTTCCATATTTTTGTGCAGGTGGAGCCGGGGGTCTCTTGGAAACAGCCTCCCTACTTCCGAGTAGGGGCAAGGTCTGCGTACACACACCCTCCCCAAACCCTACTGTGGTGGGATTCACCTGGGTTGTTGTTGTGTATGAAATGTTATTAACTCTCTCTTAAATAAACATGCCAATAAAAATCAATTTCTTTTAAAATATTGTTTTTTTTCAAATTTGGAAACTAAAAGCACCTTTCAAAATTAAACATATTGGATTTTAAAAAAAAACTAAACCTTGAGAAATTCAAGAGGTAGGAGCGGAGTAATATGCTACTGGGTACTGAATGAATACTTGTCACCGAAAAATTATTGCTCTTACATGTACGACAGAATTTGTACAATCTATTATAGCGAACACAATAAATATTTGACCAAAACAAGTGATATAGGAAAATATAGGAGTAAATTGATTAAGCTAGTCTAAGGGGATGTATTCAACTAAGATTCTATAGGATTTTTTCTGATTCTAAAAGTCTGTGGATACTCAATAAAGATTTTTAAAAATCAATTACAATCTAATGGTATTCAATTAAGATTTTAAAATATCCATCTAAATCCAGTGGTATTGAAAATGTCATGGATTGTTAAAGAATTACATTGAAAATGGATTGTGAAGGATTTTGGGGTCTATAGTATAAATAAAAATCCATGGACAAATCTCTTCTTGACCCTATGGATTTCCAATTGTTCATCTACCGTCATTCATCTTCCTCTCTACCAATCGCAACAATTTCCAGTCGTTATTGGGTTTGATGCAAAGCTTCGATTCCACGGATCTAGGTTTTCCTCTGCCATTCTAGACGCAGATCTCTGATGCATGTCTAATTATTTGATTTTTTCTATCGTTATTGAATTTTCGTCGGCAACAATTTCCCAAAAGGGTCTCACGGTCTCTATTTCTAATTTTTTTCTTTTCGTTATCAAGATCTTGTTTCTTTTCTATTTCAATCCCAGACCTTCAAACATTTGGGCTTCTATTAAAGTTGGGTTTTTCTTACAGTAGCATCTCTTGGAATAGGAAAGGCACTTCTACATGCAAGATTTCTTTTTGTTGAGATATGAGATATCTATGCTGAGGGATGGTGCCTAGGAATGGCGAATTTGGGTGAAACTCGAGAGTACTGTATTAGGCCAAAATTGCTTCTCAGAGATTTCTTCATATTGGCTAGATTTTACAAATCTTTTAAAATCATGATAATGAAATACATAAAAATCTATCTAAATCCATTGTTGAATTAAATGAATCCATAGATTTTACAAATTCATGGATTATAAAAAATCTGACATAATCCTTTAAAAGTTGAATTGAATACACCCCCTAAGTAACAAAAGTCAATTGTCCTATACATAATAGCACCAGGTATGCCGTATGGGTATAATAAGATGTCTTGTTTGATCCTTATTAGATCTTCCTTACGAATCACCTCTTCTGGTCTTTTTGGCCTAGCATTCAAACATTCTGTATTGAACAGATAAACATCAGCAAATAATATGACTGTTTTGACAAAAAAATGTATTTAAAAACATTTACATTTTAAAGAAAAATTAGTTGGCTGCATGTGGCATGAACAAAAGCTTACCAAAATTTGGTAACATGCTAACCAGAGGTCAACTCAAGCATAACTACACTTCAAGGGTTTCTTCTTGATCAGTAGATGACCTTTCCATAACAGCCCAAAGTTTTAGTTATGGAACTTTTGTAACCTGCAAGAGTTCATAATGGAAACAAGGCTACCTTGGAATCTTCATGCAACATGAGGGTGGTAGAAGTGCCAGGAAGTGTAGGGGTATTTTTGGATAGTGGTTTAGTTGAGGAACTATCATCATCAGCTTCTGTTGAAGAGGGTAGGTTTTCAGCACCATGAGAAGCAGAAAACTGATCAGGAAGGATGTTCTCCAAGCCTCTATTTGAAGCAATTGTTAGATCAAATCATTAGACAGAGTATAAATAAATACTCCCATATAGGGATATATTTTAACTTTGCACCCCCCCCCTCGCCACCCCGTGGTTTACCACTTTACCATGCTATAATTCCTTGGCTTCGATCAAAGTCAAATATTCTCCCTCCGTCCAAAAAGAACTTCATGTTTATTATTCACAAAGTCAAACATTGACATTTTTCTAAACCTATTTTCATTACTACTACAACGACCTAGTATGATTCCAATTGAGGGTCAGGGGTCAAAAGGTACGCAATCTCTATCCCTGTAAAAACAGTGATGTTGTTTCCATTAGACTCTAGATGCATATTTTTGTATTTACTACCCAAAACCTCACAGAATGTACGAAACAAGGAAGGTTTTACGTTCCATTTTTATTTACTCCACAATGTGCCTTAAAATAAAACATTGTCAAAAATGAGATCTGTAGCTCCATTACGTTCTTATTTTCATTACTCGTTTGATAAAATATTATAGTATTGTCTCTTCTTTTTTTGTAGAATTCTTATGTAAATATATATAATTGCTACAAGTAAATTTTATTCCAATTTCACATAAATTAAATTTAAAAAATTATCGTGAAATATCATCAGTCTTTCTCGAACAGAGGGAGTACATGCAAAGTGTAATGAAATAAAGTAAGGAGGGGGTGGGTGTTAAAGTCTAAAAGGGCCCGCCTTGGTAAATCACGAGATGCAAAGTCAAACTTTCCCATATAAGTATAAAACAAGAGAAATTGTCATCATAGTTTTAAAAAGATATGAAAATTGACCTTTTATGAGAATCAGAGCTATCAGGGATACTATGTTGTTTATGGCCACCACTATTTTCATCACCACTATTGATCTCTTCTTTACTTGCTGCCTGGCTATCATTATTTTCTGGTGCAACAAAAAAAAGGTTTCAAATCTGAATGCAAGAAAAACTAATTATGCAACAGACGGTAAGTTCATCTCTAGTAAAATACAAAAAGAAGAGAATATAAAGAACTAACTTGCTGTAACTTTACGAGTGAAATTAGGATGGTTTGGTGATTGAGGGAGTGGAATGATGGGCGAAGAGCCAGCCTGGAACTCATCACAATCACCTTTGTTTTTATTCTTCTCATCCATAAGTTGCAAATCCATTAACCTTCTACTATGTAACTGGATGGCTCTCTGCAAATGAGCTTCCTGCTCTAACATTCTTCTGAGTGTAGCCTCCTTTGACCTATGAAACATTCTTGGTCCTATAAAAGAACAAAGGAGACACTCAGAAAATGCATTTAAAATCGGAAGACAGCGTTATTCAGAGCTTACCGAATGGAATGTCAAGGGGCTCACTGGAATCGCGACTGGATGGGCCCAAACAAGACGGTAACTTTGCTACGTCCATATGGTTCTGTTTTTGCTTCCTATAAAATGGGAAACTCTAATTACTAACTGTAGGGGAAGCAAGAATCTATCAATGTAATTCTGCATTTTAGATAAGGTGTACCTATTCTTGTCCGGGACTTTTCCCATTTCCTTGTAAGGTTTAACAAGCACACGAGAATCACACACGAAATGAGGGTTTCCTTTGGCCAAGATGAGCTTCACAGTATCCGGGTAGACAAATGTGACAAAACCGAACATGCGCTTCTGCTGGTATGGAATTCTAACATCTTGCACCGGCCCATAAAGACTTCAAACATTAAAAAAACAAATGCAATGAGATCAAATGAACAATGTTCAACTGTAGTGCACAGTATAATAACTTCATAATCATTTAATTACCTAAAGTAGTTAGAAACATCATCTTCACTAAATGTGCTATCAGCAGGAAATGTCAAGTAAATCTGGCAAGAGCTCGGATTCGGGTGCCCATCAGATTGGCCTCCAGAAAGACCAATTCCCACATGTGACAAACTGCAATTCAGCAAACAAAGGTGACTCCAGTTCAGACTTTGTAAAGTTCACTAATTGCAATGAAATGAATAATGGGCATTCACTAATTGCTATACTATAGACGGAAAAAAATCCAAAAAAGGGCAAATGCAGGCATAAAAAGTCAATTCAATTTAGGATCAAAATTCCCATAATAGAAGAAGCAAAAATTCTACCAAGATCACTCCAAATATAACCAAACTGAGCAAGAAATTATTAATTTCGTTAAATATCGGCCTAAGCAATGATTTTATAAATAAATAAATTAATGAATAAGAGCAGCGGAAAAGAACAAACTACCTTGGGTTCTCGTTCAAATTGCTCATACAGTCATTGTAAGTGAGAAGGGGGTGACGACCACTAGAAGCCATAAGAGCAGTGGATAACCTCTGCCGCTGAAGGGCTTTTAGGCGAAGAAAGTCATCCAAAGAATCAACTTTGGCAGGCAAATCAACGGATGCAGTCGAAGCACCATGCAGAAACTTGCGATTGAAAACCTCATTCTGATTTCGGGGCTGGTGCTTTAAGCGGTTTGTGTCGGAAGAAGGAAGAAACCCCAGAGAATGGCGGTGACCAGTGGACTGCACGCCGCCACAAAACGAAAGAGGACCCGAAGAACCCGGGAGCCCGGGAACGGGGCTTCTCGGGAAACGAAACCCGTTTTGGGGAAGCGTGATCCTTGGGGAAAATGGGCCTAAAGTAGCGGAGGAAGGAGAAGGCGACGAATCTGAAGACGAAGTGTTCGACGAAAGTCCCAAGAAAGCTTTGGCTTCAGTGATGAGGGACAGAAGAAGAGCGTCCGGGCCATGAGCTAATCTGATGATATCCTTGTCGCCGTGATCCTGAATCAGAATGAAACCCATAATCTTGGAAGCATTTTGCGGGTCGAGGCTTTGAATTCTTGAGAGGACTTTGTTGGCAGCCTCGAGAGTATCCATGGCTGCCGCTTGGGTGAGAGCTCAGTCAGTAAGAAGGGGGAGGAGATGAAGTGTTTGAAAGTACGTACAATGACACAATTGGGGAAGGCTTTGAACTGTTTGATGAAGACTTGAAGTGCGAGAGTGGGGGGAGGAGAGTAGGGTTGTGGGCCCATGGGTCAAAACGTAACTGTTCGGCCAGTTCATATGAAAACTTTACGCGTGGTTGGAGAGGGGTTCATGCTTTTTGACACTTTTCCACACTATCTTCTCGATCCACGACACCAAATTAATTACTGTAATTACATACGCCCTTCAGCCCCATCCCTTCACTCTTCTTAAATTTACTCCACTCGTAATTTAATTTACTCTACTCGTATTTAAAAATAATGATGATTGAATGAATGACTAGTTGATTTACGCAATTCACTATCATTATCCGTATTTTAATTTAATTCAAAATTATCAGAGAATTTATAATCTATGGACTCTATTCCTAACACAATCTTCTATTCCTAACACAATCTGTATCACCTTATTAGAGCATTGGCAGCGGCGTTCCAAGCCAATACCATGCCATGCCACCTAGGACCAATGCCATGCCAACTAGGACAAAAAAATTTCATTCCTTGCGTGGAAGCACCTTTCCTCCATGGAGTGCAAGGCTTGGGCGAGGCACTTATAAATTTTTTTTTACTTTTCAATTTTTATATGAGAAAGATTTTTTTTGTAAAGTAATAAAACTATTTTTTACTTTCTCCATCTCGCAATAGATTATAATACTTCTCGATATCTTTTGTTTATTTGTATGTTTTCATTGATTATTTAATTAAAAACATTTTGTCACAACTTTTTTTGTAGAACTTCTGATGTAATTTTTAAATTTATAAGTTTTATATTTAATTCTTATACCAATTTTTAAATAAAATTATTTTTAAAAATAGAGAGTTTTTGCATCGTAATTCTAAAATAATAATCTAAATTGAGATGAATTAGGAATAAATAAAAATATGGAGTAGATAACAAAAACATTTTTAATAATTAAAATATATATAAAAAATTATTTATTTGAGTAAATAGAAATATTTTCATGATAAAAATATATAAGTAAAATAATTTTTAATAATTCAAATATGGAAAAAATATGAAAAAAAGTGATGAAAACAATGACTTGCCACTGCAAGGCATGCCACTCCACTCACGTGCCACTCATTGATTGGACTGTTTTTTATTGGTTGACATGCTCCACGTCAGCGTGTGACATTCCATTTTTGCCTCACCATTGTTCATGCTCTTATTTCCATTTTTTGTATCATGTTAAAACAACTGCAATGTTATTGCTCTTTAACATTTATTCATTTATTTTTCACTATTCATCATTTTTTATTAAAAACTTATATAATTAAAAACAAAATGCATATTTCATACTAAAATTTGAACTAAATAAGACTAAAACATAAGTCATTTACTAATGTAGCACTTAAATTTTTTTATTCCCTAAATAGTACTTAATAATGTGTAGTGGAAGAAATAATATCTAGTAATGGTAGACATTTACTTGAACAATAACTAATGGATAATAATCAATTGTCCTACATTGGAAAATAAAAACATATGGTCCTATATTGAGAACGTCATTATATTTTAATCTTATTTAGGTAAATTCCCCTATTACATACAATTAAAATAAAAATGTTAACAACGACACTTTTTATTAAAAAATACATATAATTAAATTAAAAATTAAAGAAATATTTTAGTGTTTGAAATAACTACTGTTGTATCTCCATTTTTTTCTATCAAATCATTCTGAAGGGTAGTAAGGCTTTGTTCATCACGCATGTAACACGTCGTTTGCAATTCTTGTAAATTTGGAGGTGACCCTTGAGTCGATAGACCTCGGACGATGATTGCCCTAGAAGTAGATGTGCCATCATCTACAAAACGAGTGATGTTGTCTCCCTCGTCTTCGACTATAATGTTATGTAGTATAATACATGCAAACACGATGTACAAGATGAATGATCGACAGCACAGGCATGCACGACCTTTCACTATCACCCACGCGATTGGAGGACTCCGAATACATGCTCCACAACTTTCCGTGTGGACATTTTTTATGCGTGAACAATGCTCTCTTCATATTTGTTGGACACGTGATAGTTTTCACAAACACGGGCCACGTGGATAGATCCCATCCGCAAAATAATATCTCATCTTATAATGACGACTGTTGGCCCACGTCCAGCGCGCACATTGTTGAATAATTCGACACGTTGATACAAACAATTTGTAGTAAAGGGAATCAACTTGACCGTAGGGCTAGTTTGTCCCCGTGTCGTCTCTAGTATCAATTCAAGGGAAAGTGACACTAGGACTTATCTAAACAAGATTCACTAATTGATTTGGAAAGTTTTCAAGTATCAAAGTTTTAAAGAGGGTGATGATTGATATCTCAGTTTAAAAAGGCAGTGATGTAATTCATTTTCAGATAATGGCTATTTATAGATTACTTTTTATTAGTTGGAATAATTTTCATTTCAAATCTTTACCACTAGTGAATAAATATCGTTAAACATTCATTCAATAATTAATACTAGTTATAGAAATTAACTATTTGTATTAAAGGATATGACTTAATCTTGATCATAATTTCTCAATGAACATGATTATCTTTTTCAAGGGTTGATTAATAATTTCTCAATTGATTAATCACAGTAAAAATTCACAATAATAACAACTAGTAATTTTATTTATAAAGAAATATCCCAACATAATAATTTCATCTAAAAATTACCATTTTCCTATTATGAAACACATTCCTAATAAATTTAGTTCCTCATAATAGTAGATCTAAACATGCATTCACATAAAAGAGACATAATGAATTTGATAATGAATGTTAGACTGCATCCTACATCGGAAGTCCAAGAGTAAAATAATCGGTATATAAGCTCTTGAGTTGAACTAATTAATCAATTGGATTCAATCTTTTAATATGGTTCAGCCCAAGTGTCTTATTGTCCAATCTAGTTATCACTACCCCATCCTAAATTCTATCATGGTATCAGAGCAGGTTTTGGCCCACCTCGTTTATCAAGGTGTCCGTTTAGACGTTCATTCCTATCGGCCCATTTGTCTTTAGCCTAGTTGCCCGTATGGAGTATGTATCCAACGGTCTCTGGCCCGTTTAACACGATTGCTCATCTAGAAGTCCATACCCATCGGCTCGTGGTCCTTTATGTGTTGGCGCTCAAAAAAAGTCAAAAGGAATGAGAGTTCATTTGCAAGTGGTCAACCAGTTAGATTCAAAATGGCCCGGTTGTCTACTTGAGGGGGAGTGTTATAGTGCATCCCACATCGGAAGTCCAAGAGTAAAATAATCGGTATATAAGCTTTTGAGTTGAACTAATTAATCGATTGGATTCAATCTTTTAATATGGTTCAGCCCAAGTGTCTTATTGTCCAATCTAGTTATCACTACCTCATCCTAAATTCTATCAATGAAAATAGAAAACTTACTCATACGCTTTCACACTATCGGGAGAACCCGGCTACAATTTGCACCGAGAAAACTCCAAAAAAAACTAAACTAAAATTATAAAGTGAAGAAGAGAGTTCGAAACTGTTGAAAGGGAGAAACGTTTCTGGAATCGGATGAAGCATTCAGATCTAGACGCCATTTCACGTAGCCAGCCATTCAATGATTGCCACGTATCAGTTTTGGAAACCAATCCAGTTGAAGCATCCAACCCACAAAGTGTCTATGGGTTGGACGCTTCAAGCCTGTCTCCCTTTGGGGTGCGCGGCTTGGTTGTAATTTGGGACTGGTTTTGTTTTCTTATGTCCCTGAATGCTTTTTTCGCCTCTCTTAAGATTATCTTTATAACAATTCTCATTTTGAAGCCTCTTTCTCTCATAAATATGTATAAGAAATTGAAAATCTAAACTTATTTATTTTAGAAACAATAATTGTTCCTCTTAGAACAAACCAGCAGATATTGTTCGTATTAACTTGTAATTATGTATTGATTTCCTACTATTTTCGTGCAACAACGTTTAAAATATATAGAATAAAATAAGAACAAAATGGACTTGTTAAATTCCTCACTCTTAAACGTTGTTTGCCCTCAAACAACAAATTTGAACAGTTAAGGATATGAAATTTTCTTAGTATCACTTAAAAAAGCTTTAATCACATAACATGAGGGATGTTCAAATAACATAATCACCAATCCTTGTCAACTAGAGTTGTCTAAAGTGTTACTGAAATAACAAAAAATAAATTTTAAGATAAAAAAGGGTTTGATTGCTTTCAATAAAACGAGTTTTCAAAGAGTAATTTCTAAAATACAATGGTCTATTATTTTTATTTTTGTAAAGCTTCTCAATGAGAGGATCGAAATTCTCATCTCACGGAAGCATGTTTTCTTTATTGAGATTGTGGATTTATTCTATTATATATGAAAAGGTATTATTGCGGAAGTGAATACCTTTGTTGCTTATTATCAACCTTGGAACTCCAAATCTAACAAATAGCTTCTTCAAGAATCAGCCCACGGGCCGCCCATAATCTTTCTTGCAGGCTTGTGCTTCTACCCATTTGGAGACGTACGTAGTCGATTGCGACGAGGATTTATTTGTTGCCATAAGAACTTGGGAATGGTCTAACAAAATCAATCCCCAGACGTCGAACACTTCACAAGGAAACATGTAATGTTGTGGCATCTCGTCTCTCTTAGGCATATTCCCTGGCCGTTGGCAACGATCACAGGCAGCGACGTAAAGGTTTGCATCCTTGAAGAGCGTTGGCCAAAAGAAGGCAGAATCCAACACCTTCTTTGTAGTTCTCGCTCCTGAAAAATGGCCTCCTACTGGGACGCTGTGGCAGGCTGCCAAGATCTCTTGTCCCTTATCTTCACTCGCATAACGCCTTACAACTTCATCTGCACAAATTCGAAAGAGATAAGGGTCGTCCCAAAAGTAAAAATGGGCTTCCCTTTTAAGCTTCTTCCTCAGATGAGGCATCAACAAAGTAGGCTCGACCCTGCCAGCTAGGTAGTTAGCAATGTCAGCATACCATGACTCCCTTTCATAGCACTAATCCATTCAAAGGGAAAGGATTCATTAACCTCGCATATGCCAAACTTTTCTTCTATGTCCACGTCTAATCGTGAAAGATGATCGGCAGCTTGGTTGGCTGATCCCTTTCGATATTTGACCTGCTCATCAAATTCCTGTAACAAGAGCACCCATCGTAATAGCCGAGGCTTTGCATCATTCTTTTGAAACAGGTATCGCCATGATGCATGATCGGTATAAACGATAACTTGAGAAAGAATGATGTAAGGCCTGAATTTTTCCAGGGCATAAACAATTGCCAGGAATTCTTTCTCTATTTTTGTGTAATTGAGTTGCGCTTCCGATAATGTCTTACTAGCGTAGTAGATGGGGTGGAAGATTTTATCTTTCCTTTGACCAAGAATTGCTCCAACTACTAGGTCGCTAGCATCACACATTAGTTCAATGAGCAAAGTCCAATCTGGGGCTAAAAGAACGGGAGCAGTAATTAATTTTTCCTTCAATATGTTGAAGGCTTGCATGCATTCATCGGTGAAATCAAATTCCACCCCTTTCTCAAGCAGGGCGGTCAATGGCTTTGTTATTTTTGCGAAGTCCTTTATAAACCTGCGATAAAAACCTGCGTGCCCCAAAAAACTAAGAATGGCCTTGACCAAGGTTGGTGGGGGAAGCTTCTCAATATCCTCAATCTTAGCTCAGTCAACATCTACCCCCTTGCAGGAAACCTTATGGCCTAACACAATTCCCTCCTTAATAAAGAATTGGCATTTCTCCCAACTCAAGACTAAATGGGTTTCCTCACATTTAACCCGAACCTTCTCAAGATTACCCAAACACTCGTCAAATGGTTTTCCCGTGATAGAAAAATCATCCATAAAGACTTCAATAAAATTCCCAATAAAATTTTCAAAAATAGCGATCATATATCGCATAATGGTTGTAGAGGCATTACAGAGTCCAAAGGACATCCGCCAAAAGGCAAACATTCCAAAGGGACAAGTGAATGTGGTTTTATCCTGGTGTTCTAGGTTCATGTGGATTTGAAAATATCCAATCATACCATCTAGAAAACAGCAATAAGCATGACAAGTTAGTTTTTCTATTAGCTGGTCAATAAAAGGAAGTGGGAAGTGGTCTTTCGTGGTGGCGTCATTAAGCTTTCTATAGTCTATAACCATACGCCAGCCAGTTACGATCATACCTGGAACTAGCTCTCCCTTTTCATTCCTAGTTACTGCCATCCCTCCCTTCCTAAAGACTACATGTATTCGCGATACTGTAACACCCCAATCCGCGTAACCCGAACCAACGAGTTAGCGAATCGGGTTGCTACTAATTTGGTACTCACATGCACCATATTTTAAAAACACATCAAAATAAAACAAACATTCATATTTATCTAAAATCAACTTGTAGTTTAAACGGAGTAACAAAACCCAAACGTTGCGGAAGCTTTTAAAATAACATTCAACATTCTTATATTTTAAATAAAGAAATTCAACGGAACCTTTAAATTAAAACAAAACAGCTTTGGCCATCCACCAGCGTCACGCCTCACTGTCCTCGAGGCTGTTCCTCATCCAGTCCTTGATCCCTACCTGTAAAAATAGGGAGAGTGGAAGTATCTAACACTAGAACTATATATATATATATATCTCATTTATTTAATATTGAGCATTGATAAAAAAATCTTTGTCAATACTAAACAAACTGAGCACTTCTTGAGCGTAAAGTAAATGTAGCTTTCTAAAAGAGTCTAAAATGAAACTAAGTGGGCAGTTATTGTGAGTGAAGAACTCTAGAAGTTGATAGCGACATATTTAAACAACAAAAGAAGTTGTAGAATCTTGTAGTCAATGTTCAACAAAATTTGTCTAAAAGAATGACTCCACCACGAAAGAAATTGCTATGTGGTAAATGGTAATGCATATTCCCACTCAAAAGCATGTCAACAATTGACATTCACATATAACATTTTCCATTTTCACATCCTTCCAAATAAACCATCAAGGGAATCACAGGCGGAATTCGAGTATCTTACACGTGCACCAAGCCTCACCTCTCACTCCAAGTCCACAAGCTTGTAGTTTCTGAAATTAATTTTGGAATTATTTAATGGGGATGGAATTATAATATCTAACCTTTAGAGTTTTGTTCACATTAGTAACTAAGACATTTCACCGAACAGGTGGCAACTCCGCTTTGCCTATGCGAATCTTCAAACTTAAAAAGGTCGGGACCTTCCTGGGACCTGGAGAAACATTAATAGAAGGTGTACAACAATACAATAACACTAAAAAGAAGCAAAAAGGACAAATCGACCTATGTGTGAAGAACTTCAGTAATTTTGGGCATACCTAGGATCTTGGAATATGATTAAAAGAACAAATCGACCCTGATGATGATGTGAAGGAAAGATGCCATGGAGGAGGTGCTATGAGATGCGATAGAATACAAAAAATCATCGATTGAAAAATGTTATGTACTCCGTAGTTGAGTAGTGCTACAGTTTAGAAGGAGAGAGAGAGAGAGAGAGAGTAGCGTGTGGGGTTTGATTGGAGGTTGCCGACTACGGAGTATTTGATAACTGTTTGAGCGTAAAACTTTAGAGCGGGAAGATTTTCCTGCTGTTGTAAATAGGGAGATTGAACCACTAGGACCTCAAATTAAGAAAAAGGAATTGGTCCACGTTCAATTTACCCATCGCAAACGATGACGCAAAAGAAAAAAAGTGATCTGCGAAGAGACCTGGGAGAGCAAGAATGTGCCACCAAAGTAAGTTCCTTTTTTAATATTCTAAGGGTCCAACTTTAATCACTTTTTTTCTTTATTTCCGCTACTCATATGATAAAATAATATTATCATGTCATCGATTGTATCGTAAAAGTTTTGATATTTTTTTAAATACATAAACTTTATTTCTTAATTCGACCTCAATTCTCAAATAAATTTTATAAAAAAAACTCCACTCAAACATCTTAAAACGAAACAGAGAATTTAAAATGAGACAAAAAGAGTAAGAAAGATTTGTTTACATCCATTTGTCATCTACTCCCTTTCTGTAATTATTTGAAAGTAAAGATTTAAAATCTGTTCGACGAATCTTTAGCAATCACGTATTAAATTATTTTAAGGACGATGTTATGATAAGGGAGGGTTCATGTAAAAACTCCTCTTCCTTGTTGGCCATGTGTGCAGCAATTATCCCGTGGCGGAGGCTGTGTGGGCCAAGTCACAATCGAATGTCGTAGACGCTTGTGTGTTGAATGCACTATAAGGCTAGGGTATGCGCCTCTTCTAACACCAATTGGTTTTAGAAGAGTTGGTAGCGCCTGAGGTCCTACAAGTGGTATCGGAGCCAAGGTCACGAGTTCGATTCCTAGCGGGAGCAATTGCTGAGGGGGAGATTGTTGGCCATGTGTGCAACAATTGTCCCGTGGCGGAGGCTATGTGGGCCAAGTCACAATCAAATGTCGTGGGCGCTTGTGTGTTGAATGCACTATAAGGCTAGGGTATGCGCCTCTTCTAACACCAATTGGTTTTAGAAGAGTTGGTAGCGCCTGAGGTCTTACATTCCTATGAGAACTTGTGAAACTAGCGCTCTGACCCTAAATTCATTAATTTTTCCCATTATGACCTTGTAAATTTCAATTACATATTTGCATCTTCGAAATTTAAGTGACTTTCTAAATCAAAATTTAACCAAGAAAGTCGACTAGACTTGGAAAATGCAATTGAGAGAAGGCCTTGGGTCTGAAGGTTTCAGATTTGGAGCTTTTGGAGATTTATAGACAGTGACTTCTCATGATTTAAACAAGTTCTCGTACAAATGAATTCTTGCCTGTCAGACACATCATTTGTTCAAAAACAAAAATTCAAATGCACCTTTCAAATATAAATACTTCGTATAACGCAAAGCAACAAGACAAATTTTACGTTGGATCTAAGGTCCACCATGAACCTACATATGAATAAAATACGTATTTTTTTATTATTTAAATAAGTATTTGTTTTTAAAATAAAAAAATTAAAAAAAGTATGTGAGAAAGTCCACAAAAATATGCACACAAGGTGCACCAAAGATGCGCTTAAGCAACAAACATGCTATAAATATAAGGAGAATTTATAAAAAAAGGTAAATTTCAACCATAGTATATGAACTTTCATCATTAATTCACTTCGGTATATAAACTTTAATTCCTATCACAAAAGTATACGAACTTTCTACATTCTTTCACCGGTGGTCCAATAGGCGGTTTCTAAGTCACTTTCAGGTTATTTGAGGTCAAATTATAATTTTATAAATTTAAATTTTTATAATTTTGACCCCTTTTCTTTTTTTCTCTTGGTTCTCCACCCTTTTCTTCATCTTCTTCAAGACCCCCACCCTCCCCCTCCATTTTTTTCATCTCTTTCTCTTCCAACCCCACCCCCACCTCACCCGCACCATTTTTTCTCTTCTTCCCCTCTTCTTCTAGCCCCCCCCACCTCCACGCACCCATTTTTTTCATTCTTTTTTCTTCTTCTTCTTCTTTCCTTCATCTTCTTCTTATTTCCTTCTTTTTGAAAGTGAATATTCAAATATTTTATGCCACTCTATTTTATGCCACTCTTCTTTCCTTCTTTCCACTCTATATTTTTAAAGCCTCCACCCCACGGAGTATATTATAGAGTGGCATAAAATATTTGAAAATTTACTTTCAAAAAGAAGGAAAGAAGGAGGAGAAAAGAAGAAGAAGAAAAAAGAATGAAAAAAATGGGTGCGTGGGGGTGGAGGGCTAGAAGAAGAGGGGAAGAAGAGAAAAAATGGCGCGGATGGGATGGGGGTGGGGCTGGAAGAGGAAGAGAAGAAAAAAAATGGAGGGTGAGGGTGGGAGGTCTTGAAGAAGATGAAGAAAAAGGTGGAGAACTAAGAGATAAAAAAGAAAAGAGGTCAAAATCATAAAATTTAAATTTATAAAATAATAATTTAACCCCCAAATGACCTGAAGGTGACTTAGAAACCGCCCATTGGATCATCGGTGAAAGAATGTTGAAAGTTCATGTATTTTTGTGATAGGAATTAAAGTTTATATATCGAAGTGAAATAATGATGAAAGTTCGTATACCATGGATGAAATTTACCCTTATAAAAAAGTAAGCTAATGAAATCTTTTACGAAGTAAGAATTACTCAGATAAAAGCCAAAAAGTCGTACCCCTTGGCCATTATCACCATTTTAAAGTACTATCGAAGACATAGTCGAGAAACATACATGGAGGTACGTAACAAGTTCAAGGTTTACAGACAGTTACAAAGACATCTGTCTTCAAATAGTCACTTATTATACAGTAAACCAGGAACCCCTTAACCACTTCACCTTATACAAACTGTCCTTGCTTCACAACAATAACTGTTATCACTTGCCTATGAGATTCAGGTTGGTCTTGCAACTCGGAGAAATGCCGTCAATAAAGCTCTTGCAAATTAAATCTTAGCAATGGTGTATAGTAACAACTAACAAAAACAATGATACACAAGAGATGCATCAACCAAGGTTCAGTAGCGTGATCGAGAAGAAGGTCCAGCTTCGTGGGGATAGCGCAATGACCTTGGAGAGGAAGACAGATATTGGTGGTATGTTTGACCATACGGAGAGCGTGGATTCCCTCTTTCCCCATTCACTCCATCTAGATTCCCTCCCGCCCCTCGTAGATAGTTAGTATATGGTGAGAGTAGATTCTCTCTCTCCATTACTCTACCTGAGTAGTTAGCCTCAGATATATAAGGGTCTCTACCGGTGAGAGAGTAAGGTTCAATGGGATCTGGCCGGGTCCTTGGCAAAGATAGGTACCTATTAACGAGTGATGTTGTGCTGCTATCATTGTAGGGATTAGTTCTGTATAACGCCGCATAGCCTTTTGCGCCATGGTCGACCATGGAAGTCATTGCAGAATCATTCGCTCCCACAGAAGGATGCTGCACATTAGCTGTGATTTCCTGATAACCCTTAAGCCCATAATTTCGGTACTCTTTTTCCCCAGGAAAATATGTTTCTGGGAAACTGGTTTCCTTCTGTGATTGGTCCCTTTCTTGTTCAGGCAGAAATTGGTTCAAAGCCCGGTCAACACGTGCAGAGAAATATGGATCGTGGAAACCAGTAGTTTCCTTCTCAGTTATACATGCAGCAGGTCTATAATGATCTGAAATGTGATTAGCACGGGCAGGAGAGTCACTCAGCACATGCTGTCTCCCCTGCCGAAGACCATAGCTTCGGTATTCTTTTTCAGTTAGAAAAAGGGGGGAATCATGAGGCACATCATTCCGTGTGCTTCTGTGGTTATTAAAGTGTGATCTCTCAGAAGCAGGCTCTCGAACGAATTCGGGAAAAGATGCTTTTGATGTTGGATGCAGCCACGGCATAGGCCTAAACAGTTTCATCAACTGCTTTACCTGTTGGAAATATTAAAAATAATATAACTTTCAGGGAAACACCAAAACCATGTGCCATTTGGTAGGCATTCCACTCTGCTAGCTATTAATGAAAAAAATAGTGCATAACTTGATTTTCAACTGAAATGGGTGAAGTTAATAAAAATGGCACTTCAACCGTCATTGTAGGTATTGTATTCTTTGATTTATATATATAATATGCATATATACTCTGTGGTATTTAATAGGGATTAATATTTAAGATAATCCTGCATATTCAGTCAATTAAACCACAATTTTGGCACTTCCTAAGACAGTTTCTCTGCATAAGCAATATATTTCATACTTGTGAAACTGACAACTCAGTCTTGAACTTGTGTGTCCTCTCATCGTAATTCTCCTTGATTGCCTTTTTAAACACATTTTCAGGCAATGGAAGGCAGTCCTCCTTAACTACGAATCTGACCTGTTTGAGTTTCCAATCATCGAACAAACATCTGAACGGTAGTGCAAGAGTAATTCAGAATAAATCATGAGAAGTCAAGAAGAAAAGAAAAGGTTGACCTGTGCGGGAAAAGCTCCACCAAAGGCTTCTGGTTCAAGTTTAACGCCACCCGCAGATGTTGCTTCATATACTCCATACAATAGCTTAACGTCAAAATCATAAAGGAATAGCTTGAGACCAGGTTTGATGTGCATCACAACATCTTGTTTGTTCCTTGAAACACCCATTACATGATAGCGGAAACAATCAGGTTTAGTTTTTGTGTTACACATAAAAATCATTCCTCCACAGCGCCTGCTCTCAAGGGGTTTGCCCTTTTTCTTCAACTCCTTACTCTTTGCATTTGTATGCTGCTCAGACTTGCTCCTGTGTTGAGTGTTCGGTTCCTTTTTAGGCCTTTGACTTCCACCACTGGTCTGATCTCCATCTTTGATCCACCACTCTACACTATCTTTTTTGTCTTTAACTTGTGTTGTTCCACCATGGTTCTTAGGTGACTGTCGGTTCCTTTTCTTCTGGTTTGTGCTCTCTCCATCTGTCTTTTTCTTCTTCTCAGTGGACTGTACGTCCTCTTTCTTAACCTCTTTACACTTTTCATCTGTAGACTTGTCACCAAGTTGAGTGTTTTGACGCTTGTTAGGTCTTTGACTACCACCACTAGTCGTATCTCGATCTATGAGCCACTCCTCTACAACAATATGGTTGGAAGGTGACAGTTGGTCCCTTTTCTTCAGCGTCTTACTCTTTTCATCAATGGTGGTCTTCTTCTCAGCGGAATGTAGGCCACTTTTCTTCAACTTCATACTCTTTTCATCATCTGTGGTCTTCTTCTCAGTGGACAGTGGGCCACTTTTCTTCAACTCTTCAGGTTTTTCATCTACATGCTGCTCATTAGGCTTACCAGCCATTTGAAGACTAGCATGTTTGATAACTTTGATCCCATTCGTCACCCCTTCCTTTTTGTCATTGACTTGTGAACTGGCCTCGCCTTCTTGTACCAGTGCAGGCTTCTTAGACAGTGACTTTTTTGTGATTTTCTCTTTGGGCTTCTTCAAAGAAATGGGGGTTTTCTTATGCAAGTCTATTGGGGATGAATCAGCAACCCTCTTCTTCTTTACCTTATTATTACGAGAAACGGTCTTCATTCCCTGTAAGCAATGATAATTACAATTCAAAAAACAAACCCCATTACCCAAAGTTTTTTAAAACTTCAGGAATCTGACATTTCTTTCAGCAAATAATAGAGTACAATAGTACATGTTAGAAAGAACACACATGTAATTGTGAGAAAATGTTAACAGAAATCCCTTTTTTGTCACTATATTATCTTCACAGTTTTTTCTCTCCTTTCCTTCTAAAAAAGAAATATATGGTTCAAATTACTTCTCCATACTCGAAACAAACTTATAGACAACATTGTTATGTAACAGACCCTTGTAATATTAACTGACTATTATCTTTTGTATGAAAGAAACACAGCCAAACCAGTCTGTTGCAAGTAAAAACATATACGTACTACAATCACTGAATCAAAAGATTATCTGGAATGTGAAAATTAGATCTGAAGAGCTGTGTTTCATACAAATCATCGATAAAATATAGAAGATCTGCAGAGTTTTGATTCGGATTTGGAATTTCGGCCCTCTAAAAACTTGTTAACGACCGATTATGTTACATTTCCGGATTGTATGAAAAAAAGGTTGCATTTCCGGATAATTTAAACAAGGCATAAGAATCTTTGATGAAGTGGCAAGGTAAAGCAGAAAAGATGGAGCGTGGAGAAAGAAATAGAGAGACCTGAAGGATGTGCGGATACAGGACAAGAACACCAAACGTAGAAAGAGGACGTCTAACTGTGCGTCGTGAGGCCTGAATCGTGAAATCATGGGATCGTTGCTCTCTCTTTCGGGGTTGATTCGGTTGAAGTAGGGGTGAGCAAGAAGTACTGATATTTCACTAAAAAAAAACCGACAATACCGAACTAAAAAATATCGAACCGATAAAGTACCGAAAAGAAATTGAATCATACCGAACCGAACGGTCGGTCCGGTATTTGGAAACAGTACGAGGTTACTTCCCATATCGAAATTCCTGAACCGAACATATATACTTATATATTATAAAAATAGTAATCTGTTTATATTTTTTCATTAAATAAAAAATTTATATAGATAATTTAGTTTAAATTCATTATATTTAAGTTGCACTTTAATAAAAGTGTTTTTATTTTTTGTAGATGAGTATGAGAATATTAACAAATATTTGAAATAATACTTTGTTATCATTCTCTCTTTAGTTTGTGAAGTATAAACTAATTTTCATAAGCATTTCTTGCATTTTATTTTTTCATTTTTAAATTTTTTATCTTTCTTTGATTAAATGTACTTTTGGTTATTCAAAAATAAAAGGTTTTTTTACATTTTATGATGTAAACTAGGTACGTATATATTCATCCCGATTTGTACCGAAACCGATACCGATACCGAACCATCCCAAACCATACCGAACCGATGCCTTGGGATCGGTATCGGTACAACGTAAAATCCCATACCGAACCGAAATATTTGGTACGGTATCGGTACGAGCTAAATACCGTACCATCCCATACCACGCTCACCCCTAGGTTGAAGGACAAAGTATGTTGGGCTGTATCAGTTTCTACCTATACCATATATCCCAATGTGGGATAAGAATGTACGGTACTTCTCGTACATCTATATAAATGTTCATTATTGAGTAATTAAGTACTAATTTTCAAGTAACATAATACTTATTTTTGAGTAACTGAATGCTCATTTTCGAGCATAACTGAATTTTAGAGAAATGATTATCCAATTATTCGAGAATGTGTATTCAGTTGCTCAATGATGAGCAATCAATTATTCGTAAATGGGCACTTGTCGTGGATATACGGGAAACATTATACAACCGGTTGTACGGTGTATATTGCGAAGTTTCCACAAATTCAGTATTCAGCCTTGCTTTTAAGTTTAAGAGGTTAAATTATACAACCATGATAGAGGCACGCCAAGAAGTATATTCCAAATTGTACTCTAAATGGATGCAAGAGATGCACCAGCATTTTAACGGTTCACACTAACACAAAAAGCTAGTTCATTAAAAAAAAGTTGCACTGACATTTTGTGTCATTGTAAACCATAATACTAACATTACAATAGTTGAATTCTTATTCTAAATTATACTCTTTGATAGCAGTGGCGGATCCAAGAAATTTTTTCACTGGGGGCATTAAGTAAATTAAAGTAAAAAAAATAAAATTTAAAAACAAGAGACAATTATATAGATAGAACACACTTCTTACCACAAGCATTCAATTATATCTTCATTTGTAACATTTAAAAACACTTCCTTTTCCACATGACAAATCACACAAGCATTCAAAAATTCATCCCCCATTCGATTCCGCAAATCCGACTTCACATGTTTCATTGCCGAAAAACATCTCTTAACGCTTGCCGTAGCTACAGGTAAAACCAAGGCGAGCTTCAATAAGGGATAGACCAAAGGAAATGTAAAATTTTTTACTAAATCTATGTCCAAAAATTTTTACTAAAAAAATTTCTCCATGATCTAAAAATATAAAATGAAATAAACTTTTTTACTAAATCTATGTCCAAAAATTAGAGAAAATTATTTAAATATATCAATTGAGAATTAATATCTTTTTAAAGACTAGAGTCATCAATTCATATGGTTTGGGACAATTATAAATTATAATTAATAATAATCAACATAGTAAACAATTTCATTTTATAGAAAATTAAAATATAAAAACAAATTATCCAACAGGTTTCACATCTTACACATAAATCTAATTTTCGGATTTATCTAATTATTTAGATCATAATTTAAAAAGGAAATAAATTATTTGGAAATACCTGAAATTTGTACTTGTGGCGGACAGGCGGCGACGCGGCGGACGGGCAACGGCGGTGCTCGACTGCTCGGTGCTCTTGCTTCTCAGTTTCTGCAAAAGCCAAAGGGAAAGGGGAAGCCGTAAAGGGATAATTTTAAGGGAGTAGATTTAATTTTTGGGGATTTGGACAATTGGGCCACTTTTGGAATTGGGTCTTTAGCCTTTAGATAATTAATTGGTTTGGGCCAATTTATGGACTAGGGGCAGATTTTTTTATTGGGAGCAATTATATATAAAAATTTTATATATATATATATATATATATATATATATATATATATATATATATATATATATTATTTTTTTTACTGGGGGTAGCTGCCCCCATATTCTATAGGGTAGATCCGCCCACGTTTGATAGGACATGAGTCTAAGAGCTATTAAAATAACAATCGTGCTAAGGGTACACAATTGATGTACTTCATTTTCTACCCCATATGCTCCCCCACCCATCTTCCCACACACCCTCTCGTTTCTTACCATCTGCACACCTTTCTCTGTCTCTCATTTGTGTCATCGCTTTCCCCATCTCCTTGTCGCCTCCCTATCACCTTTGTATCATATCCTATGACGATGCCTCATTTTAAGTCAATGTCCAATCAACTCCTCCTCATTTGCCTCCTTCATTGGCGGCGGCCCCTCCTCGTTCCCCACCACATCTTTCTTCTTCTCCAAGTGTTATCGTCACTGCTCACTTTGTAACACCTCAAAACATGCCTAAGAGTTATTTTATCATAAAAGTATTTTTAAAACTAAAATTTGACCCAACAAAGTATTATTTCTATGTTTGACCAAAAATGAAGGAGTTTTTTGAAATTATGATCTTTGTCTAAAATTGAGTTTTATGGATAGGTTTTGAAGTGATGAATCCAACAATATGTTTTATGAACAAATATGATTTATAGATTATGAGTTGTAACATTTTAAAATATTAAAATTTGTAACTTGTATATAATTAAGAAGTGATTAATATGGTGAGCTCTTGTAAAATGATTTATTGAAATAAATTATTAGATTGAATAATAGTAATTGAATATAAGAATATTTTCATATATATATATATATATATATATATATATATATATATATATATATATATATCGAAAAAATGTTGTCTCTCTCGAAATCCACGGAGACTTCTCCGGCGTCTCCGGCTAAGGCTTCCGGTACTCGTTCCAAACTGTTCTCCGATCTCTTCAAGACGGATGGTGCCGTCATCAAGGACCGGCCACCGGAGAAAACGAGTTTCAAAGGTTGTCCATCTATCTCTTTCTCTAAGGAAGATGTAGAGTTTTTCTCCCGTCGGTTCAGATTTGCCCTCATCGGCAGATTCAGACATCGCCCTCCACTTTCAGTCGTGAGGAACTTTCTTACCCGGCTAGGGCTCGTTGGGGGCTTTACGGTTGGAGAACTCAACTCTAACGCTGTTCTTATTAACTTTGAGCAAGATGAAGATTATCAACGTTTCTTCCTCCGGAAAACTTGGACGCTTGGAAGGGACATCATGACAGTGACTAAATGGTCTCCAAATTTACGTCCGGAGGAGGACTCCCCGATTGTTCCGGTCTGGATTACTATTCCTAACCTTCTTATTCATCTGCACGACCAGAAGGCCCTTTTCTGTATTACCTCCGCATTGGGTAAACCCTTGAAAGTTGATAATGCCACCCTTAACTTTGCTAGACCTAAAGCGGCTAGGGTTTGCATTGAAGTGGACGTTTCCCAGACACTCCATCAGCGTATGCATGTTAAGCATGTTGAGGAAGACCTTTTCTTTCAGGTTATTTATGAAGATCCTCCATTTTTTTGCTCTTCTTGTCATAGGTTGGGTCATTCTTCCCTTTCATGTTTACCGGAAAAGCTGCCGGAAAAGTTGCCGGTAGCGGAGTCCGTTCCTCCCATGAAGGATAAGGGCAAGGAGATGTTGGATGCTTGGACTACTGTTCAACGTAAGGGTAACAAAAATTCATCAAAACCGAAGGTTACGTGGGTCCAAAAGTCCACTACGTCGCAGGTTCCATCTCCATGCATGCCATGTCAGGAGGAAACTTCTAAAGCAGGTGCTAAGCGTAGGCCCCAGATTCATTTCATTGGGTCACAGGAAGTGCTCTTTCTTGACAATAATGGCCTTGCTTATTCTTCCTGTGAGCCTAGTCCAACGGTTAAGCCTACCCCTCTTGAAAATATCTCACTTGGCTTGGCCAATGAAGTTTTGGTTTCAGATTCTCCTTCAGTTCCATCTATGGAGCAACTGATCTGTGATTTACCTATTTGTGATCTCCAAGTGGACATCCCTGTTTAAAAAAATTCCTCTTCTTCTCCTCCTTCACCAAAGAGGATTAGGACACGTTCAGACTATAAAAGGTCTGTTGATGGGGTTTTCCAAGCCCTGAAATGATCTGCACTCTCTTCTGGAATGTGAGGGGAATCTCTAAGAGGTGCAAGAGACTCTCCTATTTAATTAAGCACCATTTTATTGATTTTTGTATTCTTATTGAGCCTTTTGTTATCGCTAAGAAGGGTAAGAACCTGGCTTTTAAGCTTGGTTTTAATGGTTTTTATTCTGTTGCAAACAATAAAATTTGGTTCCTTTGGGACCAAGCCAAATTTGATGTTATTGATGTGAAAGACTTTGGTCAGATTGCTCATTTCACAGTGAGAGATACTCTTAACAATTTCACCTTCACCATTAGTGGCATTTATGGGAGTCATACAACTGCTGAAAGGAAATTACTTTGGGCTCTTATTGAATCATTTAATACTAATTCACATCTTCCATGGTGCCTTGGTGGGGACTTCAATTCCATTTCAGACCTTCTTCATCATAAAGGGGCTAAGTTACCTGATCTTGAAGCCATTGATGACTTCAACAGTTGCATCACAAACTGCAATCTTCTTGAATGCAATTTCAGTGGTTCAGCTTTTACATGGCATGGGGTACGTAGCACTGGTAATATTTGGAGGCGTCTTGATAGAGTTTTGTTTAATACTGGCTGGGCAGATCATTGGGACATCTTGTCTATGCAATACCTTGCTAAAGGGGGTAGTGATCATTGTCCTATTCTCTTCAGCTCCAAGCTTGGTGATACGGTTAGCTCTAAGTCTTTTAAATTTCAGAACATGTGGCTTTTAAGGAGTGATTTTTTACAGTTTTGCAAAGACAGTTGGGAGGAGGTACCTGTCTTTGGAGGAATGCATTGTCTGTTCAAAAAACTTCATCATCTTAAAGCCAAACTCTCAGCTTGGAACAAGGATCAATTTGGCAATATTTTTGAGATGGTCAAAGAGGCAGAGGAGGAGGCATCCAAAGCTGAGATTCTTTTTGAAGAGAATCCCTCCTCTAAAAATAAAACTCTTTATAACCAGAAGATGGCTCAGCTTGTAGAGATGACCAATAGGGAATATGCTTTTTGGAAACAGAAGTGTAATCTTAAATGGCTTCAAGATGGTGATGCTAATACCAAATTTTTTCACAATCTGGTTAAGAATAGAAGAAGACAGCAACAGATTAATCTGCTTATTAATGATCAAGGAAAAATCATTGATAAACCTGATGAATTAGAGGCTCTTGCTGTTCAACATTACACCAATCTCTTGAATCAAGCAGAACCTTCTGGTTCTCTAGAACTCTATGGGCAGTTTCTTGATGTCATTCCTTCTTTGATTGACCAGGGGCATAATGATTTTCTTATGAGCCTTCCTACTGAAGAAGAGATCAAACAGATCATTTGGCAGATGGATCCTAATTCAGCAGCTGGCCCAGATGGTTTCAACATTACTTTTTTCAGAAGTTGCTGGGATTTCATTAAATCTGATGTGGTATCTGCCTGCCAAGAGGTCTTTCTTGGCCTTCCTCTACCACAAGCAGCAGCCTCCTCAAACATTTGTCTTCTTCCTAAGGTGGATAATGCTAGGAAGCTTAATGATTTTAGGCCTATATGCTTGTCCACTGTAGCCTCTAAGATTGCTACAAAATGCATTGCTAGCAGGCTCAGTANAACTTGATAGTGAAGCTTGATATGGCTAAAGCCTTTGACAAACTTAAATGGTCATATCTTTTTGATATTCTTAGGTCTTTTGGTTTTTCTTCCAATTTTATTTACATGGTTAATAATCTTCTTGCCTCCTCCAAATTTTCTGTCCTACTGAATGGTAAACCATGTGGTTTTTTTGGCCAATCTAGAGGAGTTAAACAGGGTGATCCCCTATCTCCCCTCTTGTTTATTATTGCTAATGAAGGGTTTTCTAGAAATCTCAATAGATTGGTTGAAAATGGGCTCATTGGCAGGTTTAATTGTGGCAGAACTTCTATATCCATCTCCCACCTGTCTTATGCTGATGATATTTTAATTTTCACCTCTGGACATTCCAGGTCTGTCCTTAATCTCAAAAAATTTCTCCATGACTACCAGATGGTCTCTGGGCAGATCATTAATTATGGCAAAAGCAGCTTCATGACTGGCACAAAACTCAACTCACTAGCTATCACCAAGCTTGAGAGATTATTGTTGATGCCTCACAAGTCCTTTCCTTTTACTTATCTTGGGGTGCCTATTAATTTGGGGATTACTAGGAAGATTCACTGCTCCAAACTCATCCAGTCATTTGATAATAAATTAAATGGCTGGCTTCAGAAGAATTTGGATCAAGCTGGACGTTTGGTGCTCATCAAGCATGTTTTGAACACTCTTCCTAACTATTTCTTGGCAGTCAATACCATTCCCAAGGCCATCTCACATTTGCTTGAGCAGAAAATGGCCAGATTCTGGTGGGGTGGTGGTAACAGACATCACTGGATTAGTTGGGAGAAGCTCTGTTTCCCTAAGGAAGAGGGGGGTCTTGGCATTAGAGATCTCAAAAGCTTGGAGGACTCATTCAGCCTTAAACTTTGGTGGAAATTCCACCAAGACAATGGTCTTTGGGCTAGGCTAATGAGGTCCAAGTACTGGAGGGAGGGGGATATTTGGGAGGCCTTGACTGATTCCCTAGTCTAGAAGAGGATTTCTAGGATTGATGAAATTGCTTCTAATGCTTGTGCCGTCAATGAGGATGGATCAATGGTTTGGTCTCTTGAGGCAAATGGTTCTTTTTCCCTCAAATCTGCCTTTGATTTTTGCAGGCCTTCTTCTCCCATTGTGGCCTCTTTCAAATATCTTTGGATGAAACCACAGAATCCTAAGGTTGGGGTCTTCACTTGGAAACTCTTCAAACATTGCCTCCCTATTCTTGAAAATTTGCAAAGATTAGGATTCCACCTGCCTTCTATTTGCCCCTTCTGTAGGGAAGATTCCTTTGCCTCTAAACATGTGTTTCTTGACTGTCCACAGATTGAGGAAGTTTGGAAACATTTTTCTGCCTGCCTTGGTTTCTTGCACAGATTCTCCTCCTCCATCAATCAACATTTCATGGATTGGTGGCTGAGAGGAAATTGCAACAACATCTATGGATTTCTTCGTATGCATCTCCCGGGTATCATTTATTGGCATATCTGGAAGGAAATTAATGCTATCATTCATGAAGGTAAAACTGATTTCTCCTCAAGAACTCTCATTGATTCCATATCTATGTTTGTGAGGCAATGGTTGGCTGCTAAAATTCCCAAAAAGCTTAAGGGTGCAGATGCTTGGCTCAATGAGAAGAAGTTACTGCATTTCTTCCCTAAGGCCCATAAAATTCGAGTTGTTAAGTGGTTAGCTCCTCCTAAGGGGCGCCTCAAGCTTAACATTGATGCATCCTTCACCTCTGGGTCCAAACGTGGTGCAGCGATTCTTCGAGATGATGAGGGCAGATTTGTGCGTGCGTCTTCCTTTTCAGTCTCTGGTTCATCCCCCTACCAAGCCGAACTAGACGCCTCCATCAAAGGTATTAAATGGGCTCTCAACTTTCATCATCTTCTTGTTTATGAAACTGATGCCTTGGAGATTTTGAAGA